GTTCTTTAACCTAAAAAAAAAAAAAATTTTTTTTTGCCTTTTTGTAGTCTTATCTGTAAATATGAAATAGGCTTACAGCAGCCCCGATGTATTTCTTCATTCATCATACAGTAAAATAGTCTTTTTAATTCATGGCAGTCTTATTTGCCACTGCTTTGTTAAGTTTGTAGTTTAAGCAGTTTGGGATTTTTGTTGGTTGCAAACTTTTGGCATAGTGTGAATACCAGTCCCTTTCAAACACGGCTTTAAGTTGCTTAACAATGCTTGTGTTGTTCCCCATGTCTTCTTGGTTGATAACGAGGCCAGCTCCCGCGTTTTGAGTAAAATCGTTTCCCACCCAGTCAAAATTACCTATAAATAAATGAAAAGAATATATAATGAGACTGCAACATAAAAAAAGCCAATTTCTCAAGGGCAATCCAACAGAATACAGTATTTCTTCCCACTGCTACCCCCACTCTCTAGAACAATTGCAGGAATATATGTATTTTCTATGACAGCTCAGGAAAAAATTACTTATCTAAAGTACACCAATTCATTTCTGCATTTTTGTCACTTTTGCTGAGTCTGAAAGCCAAAACAGGTATTTTACTGTTCTCAAGATTGAAGTCCCTCTCCCCTGACAGATATTCCACAACCTAAGCAATTTGTTCCAGTGTTTAACTACCCAGAGGCTACGTCTACACTACCCGCCTGAATCGGCAGGTAGAAATCAATCTCTTGGGGATCGAATTATCGCGTTTCGTCGGGATGCTACATTCGATCCCCAAATTGACGCTTGCACTCCACCAGGGGAGGTAGGAGTAAGCGCCGTCGATGGGGGAGCCGCGGAGGTTGATTTGCCGCTGTCCTCACAGCGGGGTAAGTCGGCTCCGATACGTCGAATTCAGCTACGCTATTTGCGTATCTTAAATTGACCCCCCCCCTCCCCCGCAGTGAGGACGTAGCCTGAGAGTGAGGAATTCCAAAACAGACTGCCAAGAGTTACAAAGGGATCTCACAAAACTAACACTTTCTCATTCACTTTCTCAACACCATTCATGATTTTATGGACCTTTATCATATCCTCCCTTAGTCATCTGTTTTCCAGTTAAGAATTACTTAACTGCTTTGGATTTAACTATCTTGAATTATTTTGTATCAGCTGCAGACTTTGCCACATCACTGTTAGACCTTTTTTCCAGATCATTTATGAATATGTTGAACAGCACTGGTCCCAAAACAGATCGCTGGGGGGACACTACTATTTACCTCCCTCCATTCTGACAACTGACCGTTTATTCCTATTATTTGTTTCTTGTCTTTTAACCAGTTACTGATCCATGATCTTCTTATCCCATGACTGCTTACCTTGCTTAAGAGCCTTTGGTGAGGGACCTTGCCAAAGGCTTCCTTAAAGTCCAAGTACACTATATTCATTGGAGCACCCTTGTCCACATGTTTGTTGATCCCCTCAAAGAATTCTGATACATTTGTGCGGCATGATTTCTCTTTACAAAAGCTGTGTTGACTCTTCTCCAAGAAATCATGTTCATCTATGTGTCTGATAATTATGTTCTTTACAATAGTGTCGACCAATTTGCCTCGTACTGAAGTTAGGCTTATAGGCCTGTAATTGCCAGGATTGCATCTGGAGTCCTTTTAATAAATTCACCTTACATTAGCTATCGTCCAGTCATCTGGTACAGAAGCTGATTTAAGTGATAGGTTACATATCACAGTTGTTAGTTCTGCGATTTCATATTTGAGTTCCTTCAGAACCCTTGGGTGAATACCATCTGGTCCTGGTGATTTATTACTATTTAATTTATCAATTTGTTCCCAAATCTCCTCTACTGACACCTCAATCTGGGACAGTTCCTCAGATTTGTCACCTGAAAAGAATATCTCAGGTGTGGGAATCTCCCTCACATCCTCTGCAGTAAAGACCGATGCAAAGAATTAATTTAGCTTCTCCGCAATGGCCTTGTGTTCCTTGAGTGCTCCTTCAGCAACTCAATCATCCAGTGGCCCCACTGATTGTTTGGCAGGCTTTCTGCTACTGCTGTGCTTAAAAACTCCTTTCATTGCATAGAAGAGTCAGTGATTAGCATTTATCTTTACTGTGTGTGAGTGCACATATGCTATGCCTGAATTCGGGGTAAATTAATGTCAGACTATGCCAGTACATCTAATCCTTAACTGCACAATCAACCTTCATTTGTTTAAAGTCAATGAAAGAACAAAAGTAGCATGATCATCTCTGTGATTGCACTGCTCTACAGCCAAAATGTTTCTGAAATAAATGTAGTCAAACTTTACTAATTCTGGGTCACTGAGAACGAAAATGATGCTTAAAATTGTTGATTGGCTCTAGTTTTCAAGATATGCTATTGGGTCAGTATATACGACCCTTGACTTGGGAATGGCGGAGGATAAGTGAGTTATAAAGGGAAGGGATCTCAATTTAAACCAGAAATGA